GTCCCAGAACACAAAGCTGTGATGTTTTATATATCACTCTCAGTCCATATTTATTTTACTGTAATTTTTATGAGGTTTACTTCCTATACTTCAGTTATATTATTTTATCCATAAATAACTCATTATAAATTTTAGCTGCTATCACCATAAAGTTAATTTGCTGAGTTAGTAATTATTTTCAAATTTTTCCTTGAAATATACTTTTCTATGCCTGCTTTTTGATCCTGTTTGTCTCTACAGAAATTGTTTGATTTTTGAACAAGTCAAGAATTGCTGCCATTTTTTTTATATAATTGTTAGCTCATTTGTGTTTAGTTATATAAGATATCATGCTATAATTTTGCATGATATTCATGCTTCTATAATTGTTTCTTTAGTTATCCATCTTGATGGACTCTATCTTTATACTTATTTCTCTAGTAATATATAAACTATCAATTTTACGTTAACTCTAGCCATTAATCTATCATCTATATGTATGCTTCTTTTGGGCAGTCACATAAATGCCATCACATAATATGTTCCTTTGTGACTTCTTTCACTTAGCATAATGTTTTCATGGTCCATTCATGTTGGTATATATGTTAATACTTCATTTCTTTTTATGGCATGCACAAATAAAACTTTTTTATGCATTCATTAGGCGATGAACATTTGGATTATTTCCACCTTTTACCTGTAATGAATAGTGCTGCTATAAACATCCATGTATGGACATATCTTTTTATTTCCCTTGGACACTGACATGGGAGTGGAATTGCTGGGCTATCTGGTAACTATGGTTAGCCATATGAGTAATTGCCAGACTATTTTCCAAAGTGGCTGCATCATCTTATATTCCCACCAGCCATTAGTTAGTGTTCTAGTATCTCAATATCTTCACCAACTCTTCTCTTTTTTTTTTTTTAATTATTGTAGCCATTCTAGCAGGTTTGTAATGGTATCTTATTGTGGTTTTGACTTGCATACCCCGATTATTAGTGATGTTGAGCTTCTTTTAATTGTTTTTTGTTATCCCATTTGTATATCTTTTTTTGGGTAAATGTTTATTCAATTCTTTTGGCCATTTAAAATGTTTATGTTGTTAAGTTGTAAGATTATTGCATGCATATATTCTAAGAATGAACCTTATAAGATACATGTTTTGAAAATATAGTCTCTTATTCAGTGGGTTTTCTTTTAACTTTCTGCACAGTTTACTTGGATGCACCAAATTTTTAAATTTGATGTTCAATTTTTTTATTTTGCTGCTCATGTTTTGGGGTTCGTATCTAAGATTAATTTTCAAACCAAAGGCCATGAAAACTTTCTACTATGTTTACTTCTTAGTGTTTTATAATTTTAGCTGTTCCGTTGGGTCTTCTATAAATTTTTTAGTTGTTGCCTATTGGTGTGAGGTATGATTCAAACTTTATTCTTCTAAATATGGACATCATTTGTTTTATCCCCATTTGCTTAAGAGACTATATTCTTTATTGAATGGTCTTGGCCTCTTCATTGAAAATCAGTTGAACGTAAGTGTATGAGATTATTTCTGAATTCATAATTCAATTCTAATAGCCAATATGTCTATCCTTCTGTCAACATAACACTCTCTTGATTACAGTAGCTTTGTAATATGTTTTGAAATCATGAAGTGCAAAGGCCTCTGGCGTTGTTTCTCTTTGTCAAGATTGTTTTAGGTATTTGGGTCATTTGCAATGTTTTTAAAAAGATTTATTTATTTATACAAGAAAAGGCATACAGTCAGATGCGTGGGAGGGTGACAGAATTCACCAGAGACAGAGCCGGGAGCAGAGCATGAGACGGACTGAACACACTTTTGAGGGGAGCAGTGGGTGAGGCGGGAAAGGTCTGCTGTGCCATGTGGGTTTCTCCTTGGCTGGCAGGGAATCGAACCCATGCTGTAGAGGCTGCGGACAGCTTCATAGCACGGCGCTCAACCTACTGCACCACCGGGTTTAAAATTTAGAAATTTTAAAATCATATTTTCCATTTCTGCAAAAATTGTCTGGGATTTTGATAGAGACTAAATTGAATTTGTAATTTGAAGGACTGCTGTCATCATAATTTTAAGTCTTTAAATCCATGAACGGGGTATCTTTCCATTCATTTAGATTTTCTTTTATTTCTCTCAGAAATATTTTGTAGTTTTCAGTGCACCATTCTTATACTGTGTGCTTAAATTTATGCATCTCTTTTTTGTGAGGCTTTTGTAAGTGAAATTGTTTTGTTAATTTCTTGTATTTGTCATTTCAAGAAAATTTATATGCAAATGATTCTTAGATTGATTTTTAATTCTACGATTTTGCTAAACTCATTTATTACCTTTAAAAGTATTTTCGTGGATTCCTGAGGATTTCCTGTGTACAAGATCATATTCCCTTGTGCTTAAAGGTAGTTTAACTTCTTTCTGATAGGGATGCATTTTATTTCTTTCTAACCTTGGCTTGAGCCTCCAGTGTTCTATTGAATAGGAGTCTTAAGAACCAACTTGCTCATCTTGTTCCTGATCATAAAAGGAAAGCATCCAGTCTGTCACCATTAAGTCTAAGTTAGCTGTGGGTTTTTTTCATAGATGTCCCTTATTATGAAATTAAGGAAGTGCCCATTTATTTGTAGTTTTTTGAATGTCTTATCATGGAAGACTATTGGATTCTTTTCATTATTTTTATCACATTCATTTTAACTTCAATATTTTACATAAAAATTGGATAAATTTATCAAGTCAGCTTTCTCACCATCTAATCCTTTCACTTGTTACAAATACTCTCTATATTTTAAAAATTACTTTCCTTCCAAAACAAATGCTTCCTCAATTTTTCTTCTTCCAGTAACCATTTAGCAAGTCAAAAAATGTTTTTCCTTTTTACCTCACATTCCATGGTTTCCTGCATTAAAAAATATTTACATTGGCTCCTTTTTCCTCTCTTTACATTTATGTAAGGAGAGGTATGTGTTTCAGTGTATAAGATCATAAGTACTTTGCCATCCACCTTGCATGCTGTTCGACAACCCCCCACCCCAGCTTGTTCTAGAAGGGCAATTATAGCCCAAAGGCCCTTGTCAAAGTTCTGTGTCCAGCGCTCACTCATACAATGTGCCACAGATCTGAGGCAGGTCTACTGCTGCTAACAATGAGTTTCTGATGTAGGAAAGAGGATTTACTTCTGAAAACTTTGGGACATGTTTGCAAATATTCTCCAGGCCCAGCTCCAGTAGCAGGCACATTGGGCAGCCTCTCCTGCTGATGCTGTCACATCCAGGGTGCAGTGCCTCTGACCTTTGCTGTGCCATTCCTGAGTCTAAATGGAGTCTTAGAATGGGGCAGATTAGGAAGTGCAGATTCAAGGATGAAATCCATGACCTTGGTTTATAATAACCACCCCCCACCCTCCAAAGAATACCAAAAAATTCCCAGGAAAATAAGAAAAGGGAAGATTGGAAATGAGTCAGTTGTTCTCATAGCAAAGCTCCCAGGTGTCTGATACCATGCTTCATCTGCGTGAAGTCATACAGTCCTTATCGCCACGCTGTGATTACATTTTACAGCTCATGAAACTGAGGCAGAGACATGTTAAGAAACTTTGGAAGGTCACACAGCCAGTGAATAGTGAAGTCAGCATTAAGCCACAGCCTGGCTTTCATTCCTTCAGCAAGCCAGCACCATTTCTTCCTTTACTTGTCCTCGCTCTGCTTCTCTGCCCAGGGCACATCTGTGCTCTGTCATGGAGAATGCATTCTCCTTAGGGCCTAACATGTTATGAATAGTATTCCTACTTCCCTTTACTGTTGGAATTTTGTACCAAACTGGGTATATCTGCAAGTATTTCAATGGGGAAAATGAGCCCATCTCCACGACAGCTATCATCTGAACTCTGAGTCTCATTTTTGCATACAAAATGGATCTTACAGGCTATACTTATTTCATGGAAGAGAAAATTGAAGCCCAGAACATTAGATACCTCCCCAAGACATAAAACTAGTGACGGCAAAGCAGGATGAGAACTCCTCCTTAACTGGTCTGTAGCCCACTGTGTTTTGCCAGGTAAACTGTATAAGAAACTGTTGAAATAAAAATAAAATTGCTGCTGTCTTTTTTAATCTGCTCTCAAAGGTACATCCATCCTCAAAAGCCATGGGCAAAATTTGGTTTGATTTTATTTAGCCTGTTTGATTTCTTCTTACAGTGGAAAATGGAATGCAGACCCTTAACTGAGATTTTCTCAAATCAGGCTAGGTGACAAATGTCTTTTTGAGCTCTTTTATTTGACATCCTATTAATTTTTTTTAAACTCCCATTGTTTTGTTCCTGACAGAACTGTTATGTTTCAGATGTGAGACAGATGTACACATAGAAGGAAACTTCTTTAATAAGCTATTTTTGCCTCAGACTACTGAGGTTATTTTAAAATACCAAGCCAAAAATGCACACACCAGGACATCCACGTTGTCATAAATTTATCTGGCATATCTAATTGATAAAGTCTTCTGGATTAGACTGCTATCAAAACATGTGATAAATTTTTGAACATGTGGACTTACTATCCTCTTGTCATCTCCTTCCCACAGAGAGAGAGGTTTGCCGTTGTTGGGAGAGGCAGCTTCCTTCTATATAAGGGACAGGCTCTCAGAGGCTGTCCGGGGGGGATGCAGCGTGGGCAGGCTGCATTTTATTGGGCATGTCCAAAGTCCCTTCCTAGTGGGGACTATCACTGATTATGGTAAATACCAGCCATTTAGACTTTAGTCCTTTAATAAAAAATCCCCTGAATTGGTTTTTAAAAGTCAAGCTCTTGTGGCAGAACCAAGTAGGAGAGAAAAGAATGGAATAATTGGAGGCTGCTGTCTTTTCACTTCCCACATAAAATTATTTGAAGAGACAGGCCAGAACTTCAAACAGGAGATACCAAGAAAAGTTGTAATTTGGATGTCGGTTGTCGTGACTTTAGGGTGATTGCTTAAAGGACTTCTCCCCCCATCCACCTCTCTCTTCCCAGACGTACTTCAATGACAATATCCTCACTCTGATACGGACCCTGGTGACGGGAGGAGCCACGCCAGAGCTTGAGGCTCTGATTGCGGAGGAGAATGCGCTTCGAGGGGGCTACAGCACGCCCCAGACGCTGGCCAACAGGGACCGCTGCCGCGTGGCCCAGCTAGCACTGCTGGATGGCCCCTTTGCAGACTTGGGGGTGAGTTCACGGCACCAAGGTCACCTGAGGCCGCTGTCTGAGCTAGATGAACTGGGTGTCCGACAAGGACAAGTAGGCTTGTCTTTTCCTACCTTCTGTTTATGGTTTGTTGCATATCAGGCACTGCACTTACACATGGTTATCATTTTTATCCTCGTGGTGACCTTTGACATAGGCTCTATTAGTATATCCTCTGGGGAAACTGAGGCTCAGAGAGTGAGGGCTGACCCCATCGGGAATTCTGGCTTCAAAGCTGGGGGCTTGCTTTTCCTCTTCAGAGACCTTCTACCAAGACCTGGCAGGCAGCAGGTGATTCCATCTTGCAGCCAAGGCTGAGAACCCTTTCCACAGAGACTTAGCATAACTCAGGGCTGCTTAACCTTAACAGTTCCTGAGGAACTTTTAAAAACCATGGATGGCCATGCACTGCCATAGGAGTCTGAGTTTTTATATCTGGCTATGACCCAGACACTGGTGGTTTTCAAGCCACAGGTTATCATGGGTATCCAGGTCCACTGGCCTATCAAAAACATCTCCTATGGATACTTTAATGTCTCAAATTCCAGATCTATGTTTTGTAACATCAGCGTTTGGACCCACTCACCCTCTCCCTCTCCCTCCCCATGGCAGAGGTGACCAAGCTTCCCCTTGAGCTGCAGACACCAGTGCACTGTGGCAGGAGTATGCGGTCCTGACCCTTATCCCCAGCCTATCTCCGTAAATGCATTCAAGGGATGCACCCACAAGCCTTAGGAACCAGTAAACTCTTTGCACAAACAGTAGCGTCACCTAGAAAGTCCAAGTATTTTCCAAATAGTGGAAAAGGGGCCACGACAAAAGTCGCTTTTTTCATTTCTTCTGAAGCCCTGATGTCACTTGCGCCATACTTCACTTGGGCAGGATCTGTGAGACTGGGCTTTTTTGAAAGGCAGCTTCAAAAGGCAGTTAGTGGCTCTTTTTTAAATCTATGATTTACTTACTGATATACTTTAAAAGGATGAAGACTTTTAACAATGGGGGATTTGGCTGTGTTTGTGTTCTTGAGTGAGCTGCCCTGATGAAAATCCCAAAGGCAGGGAGGACAAATGAGGTCACCTTATTCCCAGTGAAGACATCCCTCAGTGCCCTTCCTATAATCTCGCCCACCTGAAGCCACCTGGCTGCATGAAGCCAGCATTTCCAAGTGAACACATTTGCTTTCACATTCAGCATCAGGCTCCAGCCCAGAGGAAGGTGATTGTGAACTGATTAGAGCTGTGAATCCCAGTTATTCAGCCTGAGGACCTCCAGCTCCTGGGGAAACACATTCTGTTCCTCCTCTGCTTTCCCTGAGGTCTGTAAATTGTGCTTTTCACACAGTCCTTACCTGAGTCTGTCACCATAGTACCTGGTGGGGTCTTTTCTCCTTGCAGTGATTTTAATTATCACTTGAGCAGTTTTGACAAAACAGTCAGATCAGGGTGATTACAGCTGAGCTGGAGCTAAACATAGTCATCATTTAACTGACCTGGTCTCTTCTCCTCAGGTGAGCAGACATCTGAGACCTTTGGGCTTTACGCCCTCATGTAAATTAAGGGCAATGATGATCTCCTCAGAGCACTCATCGCGACAGGTGGAAAACTGGAGAGCCACTGGAGGAAAAACCCTTTATTATCTGATCCCTAAAAATCACCAATATTGGGTGTAGATAGTCAACCCACATGGACTTCTCAACCAATGTCCCTCAGCTAAGACCATCCCACTTGGGAAAAACCAAAACAAGCTTTCACACAAAGGCTCTTTTCCCCCAGGACCTCAAATTCCAAGCAAATAAATACGATGTTTCTCTCCCTTCTTTGTTGTCTCCTAGGATGGTGGTTGTTATGGTGATCTGTTCTGCAAAGCTCTGAAAACATATAACATGCTTTGTTTTGGAATTTACCGGCTGAGAGATGCTCACCTCAGCACCCCCAGCCAGTGCACAAAGAGGTGAGTTTTTTTTTTTCCACTCTGTAATGAATGCAGAGACAGAATTGCCTTCCCCCATCACCCACTATAAAGGCAGCAGTCTGTATACATGCTCATACAGTACAGTGTTACCCAGAGTTGAGAATAGTTGCTGTAGACCAATGAAATCTCAAAGATCAGTGAGCATGAGCATCATCTGCAAAGCTTGTTAAAACATAACTTGCTTGATGCCCAAGGTCTGGGGTGGGGTTGTCTAAAAACTTGTATTTTTCAGCAGTTCCCAGGTGATGCTGATATGTCTGACCTGAGGGCCACACTCTGAGTTCCATTCCTGTAGCTGAAACAGTGACTTGTTGGATCATGCCTGGTGTTTACCAGAGAGAGCTTGTTAAAATTGAAAACGAAACAGCACCCACAAAGAGGCAGGGAGGTCTTTTCCGACCTCCCCTTTAGTAACACTCCCACCAAAGCTGATTTTTCAAAGGTTAGAAGTGAAGACGGTCATGGTAAACAAAAATCCTGTGATGTATATCTGGGAATATCAGAACATTCTAGAAAGTCTCAGTGCATGAAGCCTCCTGCACACAGTCAGGTTTCCCAGGACCAGAAGTGGTCTTGACATCCCCCTGAGCCGGTCTCATAGACCATACTAAACAATTTGGATCTCCAGTTACCACTAATTCATGTCTGCCGGGCTCCTGGCTCTTAAACTCTCCTGAGTTTAAGAGAAGGATCTAGTTCAGCTCAGAAGATAATTTGTAAGGCCTCAGAATAACTAGTAGTCCATCTTTCGTATCCTCTGGTAGACCTCAGTTCAGGCAGAAGTAAAATCTCCACCTGCTTATTCTCAGGCTCTGACCTCTTTGCTTTCCCGTCCAGGTACGTCATCACCAATCCCCCCTACGAGTTTGAGCTCGTGCCGACGGACCTGATCTTCTGCTTAATGCAGTTTGACCACAACGCCGGCCAGTCTCGGGCCAGCCTCTCCCATTCCTCCCACTCGTCTCAGTCCTCCAGCAAGAAGAGCTCCTCCGTTCACTCCATCCCGTCCACGGCAAACCGACAGAACCGGCCCAAGTCCCGGGAGTCCCGAGACAAACAGAAGTACGTGCAGGAAGAGCGACTCTGATATGTGTATCCACTGCCACCGTGTGTGAAACTGTATCTGCCACTCATTTCCCCAGTGGGTGTTTCCAACAGTAACTTTTCCCTTTCCCCCTGTAGCTCCCCCCCTTTTTTACACATATTTGCATATGTATGATAGTGTGCATGTGGTTGTCATTTTTATTTCACCACCATAAAACCCTTGAGCACAACAGCAAATAAGCAGACGGACCAAAAGTTATTTATGATTGTAGGGGAAAAATAACCCAAAGGCATGCTCCAGACATAAATAGCTCACTGCAGGAACGAGTTCACCGATTAGGGGAGCGCACTTGTGATCAGTGGCAGTTATGCAAAGCCAGTTTTGTTAAATGTTGAGGGAAAGTTTAATCTGATTTATCGGGATTATCGGGGTGCTTGGGGTTTTGATTTTGTTGTTATTTTCCTTTCCTTCTTTTTTTTTAATACACACACAATAAGTTAGCACACATTTATGTGAAACAAGCAATCAAAAGGCAACAAAAATGCATCGATTATTTCCTCCTGTCTCTGGGTGGAAGTTTGCAGAGCACGGGAAATGCTTTCTCCATTTGTGTAGTGGATCAGGCACCTGCTGGGTATCAGAGGACGTCAGTTTTTAGTTACTCACCAAGGCCTTTCGTCCCAGAGCTAGCTAGCTTCCCTTGGGAGTTGATAGGAACATTTCTAACCTTACTGTGGAGGATAGAGTAGTATTCCATTCATGGGTGTATCAGATTCTAGTCATTTCGTTTAAGTGAAAAGAGGTTTGATTGCATATTATATTGTTATTCTGTCTCCTATGCTGCCATATGAATAGCTATTTTTTTTTCTTTCACTTCTGACATTTGGGATGAAAAGCCATATGCATCATAAATATCAGATGTAAGTCATTAAAAACTGCCTTCCTGGGACTTTTACATCTTTTAAAAGGTGAATTACTTACCTTATGTACAGAATAAATAATGCTCGAGAAAGAGCAAGTATTTTTCCACACATTCTCAGGGGACCTTTTACTCCCCTTTGTTTGATTTAGATAGGGCCCCCATGCCCAGTGGAAGCCAGGGCTGGGGCTGCCGTAGAACAAGAGGAAGATAAACCCAGCAGCAGATCATGTTTTTCTAGGAGTCGACATGTCATAAATCAGAATGTAGGAGGCTCAAGCCACCGTTGACTCAATGGAGATAAAACCCACCTCCCACCTTACACTGTTGGCACAGCTGTGTGATGCTGCGGTCCCAAAGCAGGACACTGGTGGGAGGAATTCCTGCTCATCAATTTCTTTAACATAGCCAATTCATTTAGGCGGATGAATGACAGTAATAGAGAACAGCTCCTTGTCTTTATGGGATGGGGAGAAGAGTGCAACAGTGAGCCAAATACATTTTGGTATAATATGTTTTTCTTTTGTTTTCTTTCATTTTCTAACAGTTAGCATGAATGGAAAGGTAGAAAAATACTCTTTTTTCACTATACAGTTGTCAGATGTTTTATGCATGCGAATCATGCTTTAGGCAGTGCAGTCGTTCTTAAAAACCGGCCAACTCCACCACGACCAAATTCTTGTATGGCTGGACTAGCCCTGGGCTGATATATACATATTTGAAATGTTTACTTTCAAAAATCCCATCGAGTAGAATAGGGGTGGAGGGGAGTCGAAAAATCTCACAGCTGTCCTATCTCTAAAAAGGTGTTTTTATGGTGAATGTTTTGGGTTTAGATTTTGGATCCCCTGCTCCCTCAAGCATGATAGTTTTGGAGATTTGCTTGCTGTGTGAATTGACAAGCACTTTTACTGACAAAATGGTGAGGCTCAGTCTGAACCTCTGCCCCCACACCAAAGACAGGGCCATGTAGTATTCAAGCCAGTAATGGGGTAGGGGATAATTGTATACATATGTATTTTAAAAACGCTATGAGTGGAAGATTTTTTTCAAATTATTTTTGTCCCAATATATATTGATTTATATATTATGTATAATCATCTATCTTTTTTATATCTAACTATCTATATATCTATAGATATACACACATATGTACATATAGATATATAGATACACACACACACACACACATCCCCTAGTTTTGGATCATGAAGAGCTCTTCATGCATTCTTTGCAAAGCAGGTTATAAAGTTATGCCCTCAGAACATTTATAACTATAAGAATGTGCCAGTTAAAGTGCTCAAGAGGAAATATGACAGTTTAAAAGCATTGTAAAACTCACATAGCTTACTTCTCTCTCTAAAGTGCAACAAGGATGAATAGAATGGGCCAAGGTATGACAATTAATGGTTCTGCATGACCTAGCCACTGCTGGGGGTTTTCTTCTATAACGTTGTCCTTGTGAAAACTTTTGTGAAATTAAAAAAAAAAAGGAGTTACAAATTTTATTCTGTTATTGGTTTGTTTATTTTTATTTCTATTGTTCTGTTTGTGGTTTTATTTACTTTGTTTTGCTTTTTTTCCTCCCCATTTCCCTCCTTTTACCTTTCTTACCTTTCTTCTCCTTCCTCCACTTTCTAAATTGCTCAGCGCAATGAGGCTGTGCTGCTGCTACTGCTAGATCCCTTAGAGTTTGTCTTGGTGTTCTTGGGTTTGGGGTTGGGTCATTTGGGGGAACTTCTCTCCATCTGGCTTGCCTTTAAATCTGCACGTGGCCTTCCTGCCCACCTTGGTACCTTGCTCCAAGTCCAAAAGCATTTTCCCATCAAGAAACCCAGCTTCCTCCACTTCCCCCCATTACCACCACCCCAACCAGTGCCCCATCAGTCTGTCCACATCTCTGTGTTTATTTTGGCAAGATCTACTAAATCGAGTAATGATGCCAGGTGATAAACTTTTCTGGAGAACGTTGACAGCTATTCTATTTGGCAAACCTGCTTCTCAGTTAATATTTTACCCTCCTTTTGATTAAAACCAGGAGGGTTATTAATGGCAGAAGCATTGGTCTCCTTTATGTTTGAGCAGTAAGACCCCAAATTAAAACTGTTCAGCCCACACCCAGTTATCTGGGGGCGACGAATCAGTCTCTATCACCCATGTTTCTCTTGCCACCTGCCTTTCAGACATTTGTTGAATCCCAACCAGAGATTGGGCAGATAGAAGTAAATTCAAAATGTGTTTTATATACAATCTGTTATCAGCTCTATGAATGATATTGTGGTGGGAATGGAGTGGGAACAGACTGTGACATGAGATGAAATTTCAGGATTTTCCTCAGGCTTCAGGCACACAAATGAGAGTTGACTTTACTTAGTACATATATGATATAGTCAATGTTTGAAAAGGTATTATTATTTCTATTTTATTAGCCAAAACTGCTGTATTATATACTTACCTCAGTAGAATGAAGAGTCTCCTCCAGTGTTTTCGATGTGACCTCAAACTAGCCATTCCTTTCAGGTTCTTTTAGGAAGAAGGAATATACAAGTTTCTCATTTTATGTTTCACTCCTCCCTTCCCCATCCAAAAAAAAAACCAAACAAACAAACAAAAAAAAAAAACCGCAAAGACAGACGTAGGTAAAGGTAGTGAGTAAAAGAGTTGAGGAGAAAGAATGTACATTTAAAAAGAAAACAGCTAGGAACTCGATTATCTGCACCATTCTAGAAGAGAAGCAATTTGTAAGCCATTCAGTCCAATTTGCTTTAGACTTTGAAAGAGGTGAAACTTGAGCACATGGGTAGACCCAGTGATGCCTCAGCCTCAGTAGTCAGATAATCATGAAATCATCAACATCCCTGATGACTGCTGCCTAGGGTCCTTCCTGCCGCCAATTCCAATGGGCAGAGAAAACAGAGACCTTCTACATACAGCTAAATTTCTACTATAATTGGGAGCAATTTAAAATTCTGTTATGAGTATTAGAGGTTATGACCCAGAACCTTACTCAGAATAGGTGCTCAGTAAATGCTTTAAAATAAATTGACCTTAAAGTATTTTTATACCTTCAATCATTGAATACATTCTCCTTACTTTTGGCTGATCTTTAAAATAAGTCACAACAAATGTCTGTAGGTGCTTCACGATGCAGCTGTGCTGTTGACAATGTCTCTAGCCAGGTACACAGCCTCTGAGAAAGGGGGCAGTCCTGTAAGATCAGTGAGCAGACAGATGGACTATGCCTCCTGCCAGCATTGTCAAGATCCCAGATGACCAAAAACAAAAACAAACAAACAAACAAACAAACAAAAACCAACACTTTCACTGGCCCTTCTTCAGTTTGGGAAAAGCCTAAAGGTGTCTGCATCCCAATAGAGGCAATTAAATCAATCTGTCAGGTTCCTATAACAACAGGACCCTGACAGAGAGTTCAGAAGCTTTAGGACCTGTGGAAATCAGGACAGGGGAAAAATTAATGCTTCAGTCAGCCCCTTTTCAGCCCATCCCTACTTTGCCATACAATGAAGTTAGGAGATGTTGTGGGTCCCTGTCCCTGTGTTATCCTCAGGAGGTTGTACAGTCACTACATAGGTAGGTGAGAGGGATTATCCCCAATTACCCCAGAGGTTGGAGTGAAAAGTCTGCTCTCTGGTTGATGTTGGCCAGACTGAGGGCCACAGAAGAGGGCCAGGAGGGGGCAGTTCCTTCTGTCCAGTGAATGACAGCATTAGACTTTGAGTTAAGAGACAGATGGAGTCATGATGAACATTTGCAAAGAAGTGAGAACATTCCCTTAATCAAACTGCTCTGTTTCTGGCATAAATGACTTCCATTTTTATGAAATAGCCACACTTTGCCTGTGGAGCGGAAAGGAGGCAGCATGTGTGGGTGGGGTCCACCAGAGACCCCAGGGTCTGCCAGCAGAGGGTGAATGCTGTATCTGGGAAATGTGAAATGTGAAACCACACAGTGCTGCCTTTGAGGGTTTCTGCTTCTTGTTAGTTCTTACTCTTCTCAACTGCTATCTCTATCCAAATGGAATCTTTTCGTTTCAAGCCTTTTCTTTCTAAACCTCAGCTTGTGGTGCAGAGAGATGAGGGCCAATTATTCCAAATGCCTTTGCTGTATCATCATCTCCCCATTAACGTGCTCTTCTCTGGGGAGTGGTTATGTGAAAAGGCTAAATCCCACAGCACTGACAAATCACAGAACTAGTAAAGAGGCTCAGTTTGCACAGAGAAGCCCGATTCTTTCTCTGCTTCTGGGAGCCAGCAGCTCAGTCAGCCCAGGTCTGGGAGCCCTCCCCACGATAGCCCATGCCTCCAGGATCCCTAGTGGCTGAAGGAAGGCCTGATGCTTATTTGGGAACCTTTGAACTCAGTGATGAAAGTAGCTGAAGGTATGCAAATGGGGTAGGACACCTGTCAAGCCAACATTCAGAGACACAGGTACTCGATGGGGGTAGTAGTGCTGAAAGCCCCAGACAGAACACTTGGTCACCCCTTCCTTCCTCACCTTCCACACCAACCAAATCCTCTGTTATCACTATTGCCAAATCCCCATTCTTCAAGTCAGCACCTTGATTTATACAGCTCAGTTCTCCACCCCCAGCTTATTTGCAATCACACTAAAGGTACGGCCTGTGCTCACCTAGTCCTTCAGTCCTGACAGTACTCATTAACATGAACCTTGCATTAGAAGCTAACCCCTTAGTGCTTGCCTTGGGCCAGGCACTCTTCTAAGCTCTTTACTTATATGAATGCATTCAAGTCCTCAGCACCACCTCAGATGAGGATGCTTTAGCATCTCCATTTGAAAGTTGCAGAAAGGACAGATTCTTGTTCAAAATTACCCCTCCAGGAAGTCGCACAGTGGAATTTAAAACTAAAGTCTGTGAACTTTGCCACTATGCTAAAATGCCTGCTGATATTACTGATAATACTAATAGTCTCAATATCTCACATTTACATTAATGTTTTTGAACCTGTGGTAAGTCTTCATGGCCACTAGTCCCTTTAATCCAAACAATGTTAGGCAGTTCCTATCATTAGCTTCAGTTTACAGAAAAGAAACTGAAGCTAAGCTAAATTATGTGATGACTTGCAGCTAGCATGTGAGACAATCATCCTGGCTCTTTGCCATCTCCATGGTCTCCACCACAGCTCACGGCATGGCTGGTCCTTGGTAGGTGACATCTCCAACGGCAGCCCTTTAACCAGCATGTCTGCTGTTATTGTCCAGCTCTTAGCTTGTTCCACTAGCCCATTTGCCTCAGACTGTGAAATCTCTCTCTCCTAACTCCACTAATGTTGTGCAAAAGAAACTTCTGGCAGGCCACGCATTGTACCTACAGTGATGGCATCGCGCATCTCATGCGCAAGAAGCTTACCAACAAATGGGGCTATTTTTCTCTGGCAGTGAGGATGTCCTCATAGCCAGATCCATTGTCCTTCTCACCTTAGGAATGACAATAAAGCTCCCCCAAATCTTTCTGGCATGTGGAGTGAGGGAGGGAGAAGAGAAAAAGTCAGGATTTGGATTTATCCTGAATCACTTTAGCACTTATTTGAATTCCTTCTTGACTACCCTTCCTTATGCTGATTTTGTAGCCACCCATTGGCAAAATTTCCTTTCTGGAAGGCAAGATTCAATAAAGAAAGGCATCATTGTCATAACTGACACACTGTCCATTGCAACCCAATGGCTAGGAATAGTTAATGTGTGCATTTCTTCAAAACCTTTTGGGAGAATCTTCATAAAATACCTTTGTCTCCAGGCCTTTTGGTTAAATGCTCTGAGCATTAATATCTATTTGCTGAACATCCTCTCAAACCAAATCTCCAAGAACACATATATTTTACAAGCCACTCAATTTTTTTTTTTTTTTTAAAACCTGTTTCTCTGGCATAATGAAAGCCTAAGCTCATCACTAGGACATGACTTCTTATGTTGAACTGGATGGCGAAAGCACAAGGGCTACTCTGCTTGGATTTTTTTTTTTTTATGGCAAGAAATTTAAAAGGAAAGAGAAAGGACCTTAAATGGGAAAATAATGCTCTCTTTCTTACAGACAGCAGAAGGAAATTGATATTCTCTCTGCCTCGAAAGGTCAAAATGCCAACTTTGAATTGAACTGTAAAGACTAAATTCTGAACAATTATTCTCTGCAGCAGTTGTAAAAATTTCAGCAAATTGCAGCTGTCTTAGGTCTTTCACCCAAAAGACCTACTCATTTCCATCAGCAGAGTTTACTCTCCCTTCCAACCTGGCATGACCAACCTAGCACTAAATCCCTTTGCAAAATCAGCCCACAAAATGGCAACGCCAAACCAAGGGCAGCTCAGGCAAAAGGCACAGATGCGGGGTTCTGTTCTTCTGAAAATCGTCTTTACACAAAACCATTGGAAAAAGTCGTAGTTTAAAATTGTTTCAGCGGCCTGGCAATGCTTTTAAAACATGATAACCATCATACTTTACTCCTCTCTGAAAGGTTAGTTTAATCGTAGATCACAAAAAATTGGTTTCCACAAATGCATAATGGTTCATCTATGTCACACTTGAACTAAATGGTTTTTTAAATGGAGCTGAAATTATTTTGATGTGTACACAGTCCCAGATTTCTATACAACCTTTTTTAACCAGCCCATCAGGAACCTTGCCTCTAAAGCCTCATTAATAATTCAGATGTGCTGATGACTTTAAAAGATCTATGGAATTGAAGCTTAGGAAAAAAAAAAAAAACTCTGCTTGACAAAAAGATAAATGAATGTAGAAAGAAGCTGTAGGAGTCTGGCAAGCTGTAGATCATCTCAGAACAGATTGTAACTTTATCATTCTGTCAGGGGGAATAATTTAAAGCACTTAATCAGTTAGCTTCACTGTGAGGATGTAGCATTATGAATTCCTATCTTCCAATCTGTTCAAATCAAAGTGAACTTAATTATAATAGGTGAGAGAGAGCCAGAGAGGAGAGAGAGGGTTGGAGAATGATCCAAGAGGCAGTAAGTGTCCTGGGGGGTAAACTGAGCAGCTGAACAAAGGGTAATGAGTGAGCTTTCACCACACATACCCTCAGACAGTGCATTTGAAACAACAAGAGAAAGCAAGGACCAAGGGGAAACTAGCAGAATGGTCACGAGCTGATCATAGGCAGTGAATTTATAGATTATTAGCCCAACAAGTGAATACGTACACATGCGTGCGTGCATGCACACAAACACTCCTTGATCAAGCCAGGTGAGCAGTTTTGGTTAACAAGTCAGTCCAGGGCCACTTATAAGGCACTTATGAATTATTTGATGTATATAAAGAGAGACTTTGTCTCTAAAGCAGTGTGTATGCTTGAGAGCATTCAGCCCTTTTGCTTTTCTTTTCCCAAAGCCTCTAACACAAGCCAAATGATTCCTAACTTGGAATGTCCTATTCACTCAGTCTCTTCACAGCTATGGTCTTCTCCCAGAAAATGTAAGTCCTAAAAAGGGGTGGGGAAGAAGACCGTGTCTGGTTAACAGCACTGAACTGCTAAGGATGCCAGGCCTTTTCCATTCTCACCCCAGCCCCTCAGTGCCCTGACTCAGCATTCTCTCTGTCCACTGCTTTTGCATTTAGGGTGGAAATGAAATGCCAACACCTCATCGAGCTCCCTTGTCGACAGCTTGGGTTATTATATCGGTTAAGATATTGCCACCAGGAATTCTTTTCATAACTCTATACCAACACAGAGTTTTCTTTCTTGAAATAAAACCCATCTCAAAATCCTCTTCAAGCAGGAGTTGCTATTTTGATTTTCACTCCCGTTGGCCAGCAAAATCTGTGGGCTTAATTTAAAACACTCAAAACTGACTGCAAAAGAAACAGAAAAGAGAGATAGTTGAGATAAACTCTCAAGTAGGCTTGTTACAGGCAAAGCCAAGTAAAAGCTAGAAGGAGGAGATCCTGAATAACATTCACGATCACTCACTGTGTGGCAGGGACAATGTCCCCATGTTTCAGTCAAATCAGTGGATGCACAAATCTCTCCTCAGGTGAATGTCTAGACTCATTGTTTGATATATTCAGCGTCTCTTCCCCACCAAAGCTTTTCAGACCACTAAAGGAACTTGCCAGAGTTCATCTCCCAACCCTTCCTTATACTCTGAGGTCCATCCATGGTGCCTCCAAATCCTAAAGGCCCATTGGTTCATCACTTGCTACAGGCGACAGAGGTATGTTTCAGATCCTGGGGTTCTCTCTCCTGCACTGTCTCTCTTAGCAATTACTCACTGTCAGCTTCTATTGATTAACTTTTTGCATTTTTCAATGATCTTTCCAATGCCTTTACCCTAGCACTAATTAAGCTTCTCATTTCTCCTTCTTGTTCTCTATCCATTTTGCCCTTTAGCAGAAAAGAAATGGTTTACAGATGAACCGGATAATGCCTACCCCAGAAACATTCAAATCAAGCCCATGAGTACCCACATGGCTAACCAGATCAACCAATATAAATCCACAAGCAGCTTGATTCCACCAATCAGAGAAGTTGAAGATGAATGTTGACTCCCAGGAGACCAGACTATTTTTTTAAAGCCTGACAAACTTCATAAATGGTGATGTGACTTTTATTCCTCTTACATGCTGAATCACTGGTGGAAACGTTAAGATAAAGCAAGAATGCAAGAAAAATAAAGTAGACAGATCTTTCTCTTTGTCTGCCTTGAATATTGCTTCCATGTATTTTGGAAAAGAGAATGATTTCATTTATAAATGAACATATTAAAATAATCATGTATAGCCGCTAGCATTTTAAATTATTTTTATTTATTAGAAAGAAAATATATTTTTTCTTTTCTTTTTCATTGTCAGATATCTCCCCTAAATCTAGACAATGCAAAATCACAATGACTAAGTGGCCAGACTCCTTAACACATATTTATCTTCTTTCATTTTCTTTGAGGAGAATGATGGTCACCACCACAATTAATTTTGATTAAGGGAAATGGAGTAGTGTAACAATTTTAAAATGGCCCAATGCTGTAAACGTGTATTTTACTAAATCCCTCTTCTCAAAGAAAAACCAGTCAAAAGGGGCAGGTGCATTTTCAAAATGAGTGTGTATTTTGGTTGCACTGACACCAGCTCTTAATAAATGGAACCATTTATTTTCACAGTTGAAAGTCATATTTTTGTAGTTTTTAGTTTTCATTCTGTATTTCTCATTCCTTTGTTTGTTTATTTGAAGGGAAGACCTTCTTGCAGCTTTTCTACAATTGTCAGATTACTGGGCTTACCCAGCCCACTAATGATAACAGGAGGGCCGAGGGCACAGCTGAGACTTGGACGTGGAGGACCAGATGCATACAAGGCATTTCTCTGTTTGTCGTTCTAATGGTGGGAACTCCTACATGCTGTTATGCTCCACATTTCCTATCTCCAAACCATACAAGCGGGCAATTTCAATTTTGGAAGGGTCTGGTGGACTTTTTCCCCACTCCCCAAGTTTCAGCACTTTTAGCTTGAGAGTTTGTGAACACCAATGAAATAGGTTTGCTTAACAATAAGATAGGATAGTGCATCTGTTCTTTTGCTAGTTTTTGTTTAACATCCAGAAAATTCCATGATGGAGAAGGCAGCTTTTGCCCAGATTTTAATTTTTCTTTGCTGGGACAAAACACACAAACTTGTTACAACAATATAAAACATCATAACAACAAAAAGAAGCACTAATGCAGTAACTGTTAATATAGACTGTTAGAAAAGGCTGTTGAAAATTACCAACAATGAAATGAAAATGTTTATCAGTCACTTCCACTGTGGTCAAGAGATTCTTCTAGCCATCACAAAATGACCAAATGTCAGAGCTCTGCTGTCGCTTGCATGCTCAGTGTACAGTTGTCCCCGGCAACCGCCATGTTCCAAATGACTTAGCAAAGTCTTTCAACTTCAAAATTATCAATCTTTGATACAATTGTCAGGGTCTCTGGAAAAACATGGATGCGATAGTGATTTTTATTTCCTTAAAAATGTAAACTGTGGATGCTTGAAGAAACCAAATTAACTAAAATATCCCTGAAAGTCCCATAATATCTAGTCCATTATTATTTCTCTAGGCCATGATCTCGTGGTACCTAGTATGTAAGCGCAAATCTGATAAGAGCCAAGCACTGAAATCGCCATGAAAACATGTCCACCAAGTACTCCAATTACCAACGTAGGTAAAATGAGCTTCCACCTCTGCTCTCTCCCTGCAGAGCCAATGTAGTCCGAGCTTCCACTGCGTAGGCGCTGTCCTGAAGTGACTTGTCAGACTGTGTTTACCCTGTTGTCACATTTTGTAGAATTAGTTCTCTAAAAGTATTGTGAATATAATGTATGTCCAATTGGCGTGTTTAAAAACTACGTATAACCAATCACTAGTCTACTCGCAGACTAAAACGACTTCAGCAGTCTATCTTCAGACTTATAAACACATTCTGGTTTCTAACAGTGGTAAAACAGGTTTGTGGGGTGAATCCCTTGCTAGGATTTTAGAACTTTCCTGAAAGCTAGGCCGCCTTCAACATAATGATTTTGCATTGGGGTCACTTAGCATACACACACCCCTCCACGCTCTTCTTTCCTTCATGAAATCAGGTAGGCTCTTCTTCACTCCTATTGCCAATAACCATTTCTGAATTCGTCATAATGATTTGGTGTCCTCTGGCTGGCAATGGTGGCCACCTAAAAGCTCTTTGCTCTTTCCTCCGTGCTCTTTGCTCTCTGCCTCCACATACAAGGCAATATAGAAGCAAAAGTATAAATGCATACCCACAATGGCTAGAGATTTGAATCTGAACTTTTTTTTTTTTTTTTTTAAACCATAATGGTTAAGATGGTTTCCTACTGCACAGGGCTCCCCACAACAACTATCTGGCAGCAACCCCTTTTCTTCTAAGGTAGAACAGCCAGCTCACGCCACTTTGTTTTTGTAATAATAAACTGTTTTGGGCCAGGAAATAAAACCAGGACTTTTTCTTAGGAGGTCCATAAAATGACTGGTTCCTCTGACTCAAACAGAGAACTGGTAGATTAAAATGAAATGGAAACAGAAAAAGATTTGTAAAACTACCGACAGATTCACCAGAATCCAGAACTTCCTAACTGTTTCTATTTGGTGAGCTGTCTGACCCGGAAGGGGTCCTCCTCCTGTCCCACTACGACAGGCCCATCTTTCTGCCTAATTTCAGCCTGGACAAATAATGGTCATCATTGGTACTATCTGTGTTATGAGAGTCTAATCTCCCATCCCAATTTAGGGTTCCGGAAAAGTCATTTTCCCAAACTAATCACTCCTGGGTGCTTTGGGAATCAAATACTCACTGTCAAGGTGTTTTAAAAAGCAGGAAACACCTTCTTAAAAAAAGCATCATCACTGTCATCCTCTTTCCCATTAAGAAAGCTTTTTTGTTTGTCTTATCACTTTTATATTTTACAATTTTAACTTCACCAAGGTAAAACACCTTAAATAAACGTGATTGTGACTAAGACACATTGAGGAGCACCACGAAGCACTATCATCCAAAGGTTATGGCATATTATGATGTGCTTTGTGCAAAATTTAAGACTTTACAAAAACAAAGAATTAGAACTGTTTTGTTAGTGTTGGAAAGGGAGGAAATAGCAAAACATAAGAAAATTAAGGATATTTTCATATTGAAAGGTGAAAGAGCTCAACTTTCCTACTTACGGTTTAAAATGAGGGTCAAGAGCTACATCTGCAAATAACTAGTTAGGCACTTTTAAAATGTTTTTTAAACTTTTTGAATCTCTGTGACCTCGTTTGTAAAGGAGAGTGATTCATCTAGGTAACTTTAAGGTCCCTTTCAGATCTGAGAAGATGTGACCCAAATTAGGAGTAAGAGTATGGGACTGAGTCAAGCCCTTGGAGACTTTAGTCATATTGCAATATGACTAATTATGTCATATTGTAGAATAATGGTATTTCTTGCAGCATCACCTAAACAACACTCCCAAGTGTAGTGTATATTTTCTGCTTGCAACACAACAGCTAGGTTCATGCCTGTGCTTCACACTTTGGAGTCTCCTTAAGTTCAAAATGCAAATTTCAAATTTACCTGAAAGTTTTGAGCATGAAAATAATCTGGAGACTATCTCAGGATACACATCAAAAAACAAACAAGACAAATTCAGGACGCACATCAAGAAACTGAGGAGAAAGAATAAAAACAAAAGGATATAGACAGCATTTTGAAGAGTTATCAGTCAGAAATGTGTATATCAAGAGTTTGTGTTTTGGGTTCAAAGGAGGAAAAGTTTTCACTGAACTATAGTGGGCTGGGAAGAATGCAGGGATGTATAATATAACACTTGATGAAATTTGGAGGCATTTCACTAGGAAATAGGTGACTAGAGAAATGTGGGGTATAACGGTTTTCCAGCTAGAGGAAACTTCAAGGGTCACAGTACTTTGATAGGAGTGTGATTTCACTACACAGACTGCTTTGTCTCTGGTGAAAATTTTCTGTACGAGAGCTGAAGGAACCTATAATGAGACTTCATAGAAGGGGTTAGAACTTAGATAATCTTACAGGCAAAGGGAAGAGGGTAAGACTGGAACTAGAAAGTCATGGGAATTCACTAAAGGGATTCAGGAAACAGTGATAAACTACAATGCCTGTGCATTTTTAGGCTGACATTTTGAGATGTCAGTTGTTCCCGGAAGCCATCATGAGAATGAGTCAAAGGAAAGCCGAATGTTTTCTCAGTGGCATGCAGTTCTCAAGGGTGCACCCTCAGGGCCAAACTTGAGCATGTGAAGCCTTTACCTTCCTCAAACACATGTCATGGGTCACACTAGTTCTATGAGTTTAGTTGGCATTGGAGGGCCTGGTGTCTGGAGTGGGTGTTGGGGCAATGACTGTGGTTCTAGAAAAGGTTCTTTGTGAAAGGAGTGCTTAATTTGGACCTCTAGGGAAGAACCAAGTGGAGGAATAGGGAAGAAGACAGGAAGGGTAGTCGATGAATGCAGGCAACTGTGAAATGCATTGCATCATCTAAAGTGCAAGAAGTTAAAAGGGATGGTATTGCAGGCAAAAAAGAGTGGGGAAAGTGAGTTGACAAGGGGCACAGCAGGCCTTGTGGGTTTGGAAATCAGATCAGTATAGGTACTTGTAAAGTGAAGGGCACCACTGAATTCTCCAAAGAAGAACATGTGGACATGAAAGATAAGCTGGCAGAAGGCTAGTGGGGGGGGGCAGCTATGTTTTTAGGAACTAAAAGGAACAGCATTAAATAGACATCCCTGGGATAGGAGGTCTAGGGCACCCCAGAGCCAGGAAAATGGGAAACAAGAGAGGAGAACTTTAAGAAAGAGAAGGTAGCTCATCTATGACATTAGAG